TCCCCCAAGATTCCCTCCTGGCTGTTCTGGTGCATCCCTCCCCTCCCCCAGTAACCACCGTTCTAACTCGCATCAGCATTGATCGGGTCTGCCTTTCCTTGAGCTTCATTCACATGCATTCTTGCGTCTGGCTCCTTTCATCTAACATGGCATCAGTGAGATTCATCTGTGTGTGTGTCCAGGAGCTCATTCTTGTCTTCACGGTGCAGAATGACGCAGTCACTAAGCACTGAGCACTAAGCACTTGACATGAATTGACTCAAGAAAGCCTCCGAACCCTGCGAGGTTTTATGACAGAGGATTGGAGTGTCGTGGTTAAGGAACTGACCCAGGGTCACTCAGCTAATTAAGAGCTAAGCCGGGGTTCAATTGCAAGCAGTCTGGTTCTGGAGCCAAGGTTCTTAACCCTGTGCTGGGTGGCCTCCATGATACCTACTGAGCCCGTGCTGGGCCCTGTGCGGATTAAAGGAGTTCGTGTGTGACTGGATGTGGTTGGAGGGAGAGAAGAGGGAAGAAGGAGTTGAGGATGGCTGCAGGTTTCTGGCTTGAGTAACCGGGTGGGTGGCAGTGCTGTTACTAAGATAGGGAACACAGGAAGAGGAACAGATGGCACGGGCAGGGGGGTGGGGAACACAGACGAGGGGTTCGATTTGGGGCCTGCAGAATTTTATGTTTCTAGGGAACAGCCAGGCAGAAATACCAAGTGGGCATTTGGTTTTGGGGGGAGGGGTCTCAGGCTTGGGTGTGTGATTAGGGAGCCACTCAGCACCCCGTAGACACATCTGGAGCTTGGGAAAAGATGGACCTCGTTGGGAGACTGTGGTGGGGACAGCGAGCCTGGGTGTGGTTTGTCTCTGTGTGTCTGAGCGTCTCTGGTCTGCATGTGTTGTTATATGTGTGCATGCCTGATTCTGGGTCACAAAGTCCCCCCATCTCCTGGGAGAACCTGCAGGTCAGCTGCGAGCTGGGTTGTTTTTGTTTGTGGTTTGGCCCTGGGAGGGGGGTGCCAAGCCTGAGAATGCACCCGCCGAGAAGCCCCCGGAAACACCTGTGTGTCCTCTTTCCCCTGGGCCCCAATGTGGAGGGTTTGCAAGGAGGCCAGCCCTCTCTTGCTTCTCTTGTGCCTGCAGGGAGAGGCTGTCCCTGCAAAGAATGGTATCCAGTAAGCCTACCAGGAAGTTGATTGACAGCACACCCTCTGGGTCTAGGATCCAGGGACTTTGTGAGAGGCTGGGCGAAGGGAGAAAGGGGTGTTTGGAAAGGACACCTGAGGAGGGGAGATCGCCAGCCCTCTGGTTGGTTTTTCCTGTTCTCTCTCGTTTCCTGTGATAGCTGTGGGGGAGGGGCTCCCAGCACTGGGGCCCCTGCATCGTTTCCCTTTCCTCTTGGTGACCTCCTGGGGCCGAGTCCTGAGTGCCACCGGATGTGCAGAGACAAGGTGATCAGCCCTTGGGACTGAGTCCTTAGGGGATCCCCAAGGGGGTGGAAGGGGCTGTTATTTGCCTTGGCATTTAGGGGAGGGAACCCCAAGTCCCCTCCACTCCACTTGAATGGGGCCAGCCAGCCTGTGGGAGCCTCGTTGCATTCCCGGGAGGACTGAAACCTGCAGAGGGAGACAGGAGCAGGGTGTCCTGGGGAGGCTCCAAGCCACCGAGCTGCAGACTGGAGAGAGCGGGACATGGTCTTGGCAGGTCGGTTTCACTGGAAGAGTTGTCTTTTTTTTAATGGGAAACAATTTCCATGGGAAGTTAATTCAAACAAACAGGGCTAGATATTGGAGTAGAAGGCAGATGTAGGCGACCTTTTAAGACCAAACAGGAGATACGAAAGCGACATGAAGCCTAGGTGTCCCACAGTCATGACTGGAGGCAGGTCCTCCGTGGGGCGGGGGTTTCTGAGGGAAAGTCTGAGCAGGTCCTTCGCGGGAGAGGAGGGACCCGGGAAAGTCCTGGGCCTGGGAAGCAGGGCCAGCGGCAGAGCGAGCCTGCTCCCCCTCGTGTCCTGGTTGGCCTGGCCCTGGAACCAGGGCCCACAGCTGCTGCGTGTGTGCAGGGCAGTGTGCCTGTGGGTGTGCTTGGAGGGGAGGGGGCGGAGGAAGCAGAGCCATGGCCGTGCCGACAGTCTCTCACACACACAAAAGCACACAGATGTGAGCCCTGTGAATCACCCAGCCAGTGAGTCAGCCCCCAGGATTCCTGTCGGGGAGTGAGCGAGGCTAGGCAGAGGTCTGTCGGTCCATCTGTTCGTCTGGTGTGTGTGCGCCTGAGTAGGTGGGTTGTGGGAGGTGGTGGGGAAGGTGCCGGGCAGGGTCCTAGAAGGGCTTTTGGGTGGAGTGATGGGAGTCTCCAAGCCCCAGGACGAGGGCTTGGGCCTCTCTGCTCTGTCTTGTGCAAAGAAGACCCCTGGGGATGTGCCCCCTGGGGATGTGCCCCCTGCACGTGGAGCTCCGGGGCCGGGGCGGGAGGGCCTGGGACACCTCGAAGGGTAAGTGGGAGAGGTGGCGATCGGAGCTGAGCCCACCTCTGGCCTCAGGCCCGCCTCTGAGAGCTTTCTCCTTCCTGTTCCAGGCTGTCTGTGCCCGGTACCCACCATGGCTGGGCTGCTGAAAAGGAAGTTTGACCAGTTGGAAGACGATGACTCCTCACTCTGCTCGTCTTCGTCTTTGTCCTCCTCGGGCCACCACTCTGGCTCCTGCTCCCCAAGCTCTTCAGTCTCCCCAGCCTGGGACTTGGAAGAGGAGAGCCCCTGGGATCAGATGTCCCCGCCTGACCGAAACATCTGTGGCCCCCAAAGTTTTACCCGTGAGTCCCTACCCTCCTGGGAACCCCACCACACACCGCCCCCCTTCTTCCTTCCTTCCTAAAGATGAAATTGGGAGGCATGTGACAAAGCCGTCCTGGCCACTGGAGGCTGTGTCCCCATGGCTTTAGCTCCCCACCTCATCCACTTCCTGGAATACAGTGGTCACTTAGGAATGCCCACTGTCCAGAGGCGCTTGGTCTTGGGTACATTCACCTTTGACCTTGGGACTCCCCGGTTTCCAAGTCATGACATTCAGAGCAGAGCTCCCGGAGTGGCCCTTAGCCCTCCCGCCCCGGCTCCTCCCTTCTGTTCCAGTTTCGTTTCTCCGGCTCTCGCCCTGTCCTCCTTCCAGCTGCTCTGCCAGAGCCCCACGCCCGCCGCACTTCTCCGCTGCGAGGCCTGTCAAGCCGGTCCCTCTCCTGTCAAAATGCCGCTTGGCTTTACCTGACCAGAGTGAAAGGTTTTCCCCAGTTATTTTTCAAGCTGGCAGATTCTGGTTCCAAACGGACCAAGGAGGCCCGGGAGCGGTTTCTCAACCTTGCTTTGTACGATCGCTCCCCCCAGCCCCAAGGAGCCTTTTTAGACCGCTTTTTCCCTCATCACCCCCACCTGATATTTTCTGAGCACAGAGATGATGTTCGTTTAGGTACTACCTGCATGTCTGCGTTATATATAAAAAAAGTATAATTCTTAGCACATAGAGCTAACGGTACATTAACTGACGAAACAACTGTGGGTTTATCCTAGAACTAGAAGGATGGGTTAATATAAAAACCAGTCTCATAGTTTACCAACTGACTGTGTCAGAGGAAGAAAAATATAAGAGCTACTCTAGATGCTGAAGAATATTTGATAAAACATAATGTTCCTTCTAGATAAGATTCTTGGTAAGGTAGACATAAGTGAATTCTACTTAAATGGTTAAAAAAAATAGGTTTCATCCCAAAAGCTGATCTGACTAATGAGGAAATACTGGAAGCATTTCCCACTAAGTCAGGAACAAGAGGAGGATGCTGTCTGTCACCACTGTTGGTTAACATGGTTCAGGAAGTGCTAGCCAATTCAGTTTGCAGAGAGAATAAGAATTCTCCGTATTACATTGGACAGGCCAAATTGCCACTAATGTCTCTAATAGCATATATAAAGCGATGCTACAAATCAATAAAATAAAAAAATTAGGAAACTATACAAGGGACCTATAATCTATATATATAAAAGGCTAATATGCAAAGTGTCCCCTCGGGAGTTTGACCGGGAGACTGGGAGTTCAGTTGCTCACTATGACGTGCGCTGACCACCAGGGGACGGTGTAGAATGGAGGAAGGCTCCGGCTGGCAGCAGAAGGCCCTGATTGGTCCTGATTGCTGGCCAGGCCTAGGGACCCTACCTGTGCACGAGTTTTGTGCACCGGGCCTCTAGTTGGCTTATAAAGATGGGAAAGATGTTTACACTTACAAATGCTCTCATTTCAGCTGGTAATAGCAATAACCTAGTATTGGCATAGGGGTGGTGTTCAATTTTACCAACTCTAATCCCAGCCAGGCTGGCTCCTCATTTTTTTTTTTTTTTTTTTTGGGGGGGCGGGGGGGGGAGGAGAAAGGAGGTGTGAGGAGCAGTGGATCAGGGTCCTCTTCCAGGGGGTTGTGCTGCGTATCACAGAGAACTCATGCGCTACCCCTGCTCTGCTTGCCGTCCAGCCTTGTCCATCCTGAAGCGGGCTCCCCGGAAGCGTCCAGGCCGCATAGCCTTCAACGGCACCACTGTCTTCTACTTCCCTCGGTGCCAGGGCTTCACCAGCGTGCCCAGCCGCGGTGGCTGCACTCTGGGTATGGCCCCTCGCCACAGTGCCTGCCGCCGCTTCTCCTTGGCCGAGTTTGCACAGGAGCAGGCCCGGGCACGGCAAGAGAAGCTCCGCCTACGCTTGAAGGAGGAGAAGCTGGAGGTGCTTCGAGCGAAGGTAGGAGACCCCTCAAAGGTCCACAGTGAAGTCCTAGCCTTGAGGGGAGGGGCATCAGGGGCAGGTGCTGGTTTGCCCACTATTTGGGGAAAGACATGCCTGGGGCCAGTGATGGCTCGATCGGGATCTGTTGCCTGGGTTATGTGCAGGCAGAACGGGGCATGGTACCTGAATCTGTCTGCCTCACTGGGGAGGAGGATGTGGAATTGGCGGACACGGGGGTCGGTGTATCTGGCTGGGGGAGGGCGTTTGTCCATGAAATGGACAGGAAATCTCTTGGCAGATGCCCCGAGGGCAGTGTTCTTGGCCGTCCTGATCACTGGGGAATCCAGTGCCCAGCCCAGAGTAGCACATGGGGGGTGTCTGTCGGATGACTGGTGGCTGTGGGGACGAAGACCACCACGTCTGTGCCTCTCACATCCCTCCTCTCCCCCCTGGATGCAGCTTACAGAGGCTGGGGTACCTGAGGCGGAGGCCGGCCTGACTCTGACCGTGGATGCCATTGATGATGCCTCTGTGGATGAGGAGTTGGCAGAGGCCGTGGCAGGTGGCCGGTTGGAGGAAATGACCTCCCTCCATCCCTACCCGGCCCGGAAGCGGCGGGCCCTGCTGCGGGCTGCAGGCGTGCGGAAGATCGATCGAGAGGAGAAGCGGGAGCTGCAGGCTCTGCGCCAGTCCCGGGAGGATTGTGGCTGTCGCTGCGATAGGGTCTGTGACCCTGAGACCTGCAGCTGCAGCCTGGCGGGCATCAAGTGCCAGGTACGGAGGTCGGGCCGGGCTGGGAGCGGGAGCCTGGGCTGGGGGGCTGCTTCTCTGGGCTCCTCGGGATCCTCACTCGTGCCTCTACCTTCTCTGCAGATGGACCACACAGCGTTCCCCTGTGGCTGCTGCAAGGAGGGCTGTGAGAACCCCAAGGGCCGTGTGGAATTCAATCAGGCGCGGGTTCAGACCCACTTGCTGCACACACTCACCCGCCTGCAGCTGGAGCAGGGGGCTGAGAGCCTTGGGGAGCTGGAGGCCCCTGCCCCGGGCAGTCCACCCAGCCCTGGTGGGCAGGTCCTGACCCCCCCTTTCCCACTGGCCAACCCCCCCGTGAGCAGCGAGCTGGGAGACCACAGCTGCAGCAGCGACATGACTGACTCCTCCGCAGCATCGGGCACTAGCGAGCCCCCTGACAGTCCTGCGCATCCAGCCCTGCCTGACCCTGGCTTCCAGCCTGGTATGGATGATGACAGCCTCGAGCGGATCCTGAGATTCAGTGACTCAGACCTGGGTGGAGAGGAGGACGAAGAAGGGGGTGTGGGGAACCTCGACAACCTCAGCTGCTTCCACCTCGCCGATATCTTTGGTTCTGGTGACCCCGGTGGCCTGGCTGGCTGGACCCACAGCTATGCCAATACCAGCTTCACATCAGGCATCCTGGATGAAAATGCCAACCTGGATGCCAGCGGCTTCCTCAACAGTGGCCTTGAAGGGTTGGGAGAAGGCAGCCTCCCTGGCACCGAGGTGCCGCCCAGCATGGACGCCGGCCAGAGCAGCTCAGTGGACCTCAGCTGGTCTTCCTGCGACTCCTTTGAGCTGCTCCAGGCCCTGCCAGACTACAGTCTGGGGCCCCACTACACCTCTCGGAAGGTGTCTGACAGCCTGGACAACCTTGAGGCACCCCACTTTTCCTTACCTGCCTTTTCCCCGCCGGGGGACACCGGCGTTTGCTTCTTGGAATCCATCATGGGCTTGTCGGAGCCAGCTGCCGAGGACTCTGCCTTCCTTCTGGAACAGCCGGTTGTTTGAGGACACTGCCCTGGCATCACTGCTGGAGCTCGTGCCGGTGCGAAGACTAGGGGGCCTTTTCCCGGCCCCGAAAGCCCTGTTGCTGCTGTGCCATAATTTGGGGGCTCTCTGGGGCCTGTAGGTAACCGTCTCCCATTGGCCGGCTCACCCATGTGGGCATTCCTAATTTCCATGCAACCCTCTGGGTTGATGTATTATTTATTTTTGTAATTTTCTGTGCTGGAGAGAGTGGGAGGGGGCTCCCCCCTTCAGCCACCCAGCCCCTGGTGCCCAGTTTCTCCCACTTCCATGGCGCATGCCAGGAAGAGGAGGGCATGATGTTTCTTAGCCTAATGACAGCGAGACAGGGCTGGAAACATCTACCTCTTCCGGCTTCTGCCACCCTGAGCCCTCCCCCCCTGGGTGGCTGAATCCTCTGGACTGTGAAGAACATAATTTATTTCCATAATTTATTTGGAGACTAGGCAGCTTAGGCTTCTCATCCCTGGCTGGGGTCAGGGTGGGGCACAGACCCCACGAGTCCCTTTTACCTGATGGTCCTGCAGCCCTGCCCTGCCTGGTCTTAGGTGTAGACCAGATGTGGATTCAAACCCTGTGTCTACTGTGGCAGTGCCTGGCTCTGGATGGTTGAGCAGGCAGAGGTTAGCCTCGGACAGGGTCTGGGCAGAGGAGGGACTGAGTTGACCAACCGTGACCCACTCAGCCCCCTCTACTTCCTGTCCTCTGCCCCATCTCTCCCCTCCCCCAAGGGCCATAGCCTTTAGTCCTGGTCCATCAATGTAGGAAGGGGAAGCAGGAGGCCGAGAGCGCGCAAGGGGCTTGCCTCAGTGCCTCGGGGCCCACCGCATGCCCTTGAAGACAATCTCAGGGCTTTCTGGACACTGCACTCCAGCCTGGCCCACCTGCCTATACCCTTGGCCAGTTGGCCAAGACAAGGGGTGGTGCCTATGGCTCTTATGCCCGTTTGTTGATGATGAATTTTGCATCCTAATTTCTATATTGTCCCTGAATATTGTAACTATAATTTATTCATTTTTTTCTCTGTGTCTGTGCCAAGGAGCCCAGGCTCTGGGCTTGCCTTCCTACCCAGGAGGCCGTCAGCCTGTGTGCTTGTGGGAACACCTTCTACCTGAACTTACAGGTACCAATAAAAAGGCTCTATTTTTAATGGTGCGGTCTGCATTTGTGGGAAGACTAAGAACACAGGTGTTCGCTCAGGAAGTGAGGGGGAGGGAAGGGGAGACAGGCCCTGCAGGGCAGCGCGGATACTGAGGCCGTGTTGGGAATGGGAATTGGGGACACAGTATGCTGGGCCTCCTTCCATGCAGGCCAGGCAACCTGGAGACTGGAAGCCAGCTGAGAGAGGCTGGCTGGGCTCACAGAGCAGTTCTCCCTTTGGAAGAACCCCTCTCTCCAGGGGTCTCCTGGGGTGGATAGTCTGAGACAAGCTGTGTGCTTGGATGGGTGAGGGCACTCACCCACACTGAGCTGAGGCTCTAAGGGTGAAGTCACTGCCCCTCCCCCAGGTGGAGGCAGGTGGAGGGGTAGGGTGGGTAGAGGCCTTGTGTGGGGCTGAGCTACTGATGTCCCTGGGGACGTGAGCACCACACACCGGAAGCTGTAGAACTTCATCCATCTGCACCAGCCAGACCTGTCCGACCTGTCCCTGGCCGCCTGGGCTGCAGGCCAGAGGAACAAGCTGCACTCTGCCCTGGTGAGCCCCAGTCTGGGGGCCTGAGGAGCAAGGTCAACCTCCCTCTTAGCAATAATAATAATTTGCACAAGTGCTGGGAAGGGGACCCAGCAAGGAGACCTGACTTCTTGTTCTAATCCTCTGCCTCGGTTGGTTCGAGCTCTCTGTGGTTTACTGGTTAAGCACACAGACCCACAGTGCCAAGTTTGAATCCCAGCTCTTCTACTACCAAGTGAGATTTCTTATGCAAATGACTTCCTCCTCACTGTGCCCAGGTGTCCTCAGTACTGTGCAAATAACCCTGCTCACCTCCTAAGCTTGTCTAGTTCATGTATATACAGCACCCCGAAGAGAGTCTGGAACATGCATGCCTCATGACTTCCATGCTCTTTTCATGCTTTGGCCGCCTTTTTTTTTTTTTTAACCACTTTTGTCACCTTTTAGGTACATCTCTTGCCTTGGGACATGCATGCACGTGGCCACATGGGCATATGGTCAGTGGCCACTAGAGGACTCGAGGCTTGGCGTCTGGCCCATGGTGGGGTAGGCTGTCCTTGTGACCAGCTTAGGCAGGGACAGCCGGGTCTTAGGCCTCTCATGGTGGACACTGAGTTGCCCTGTCTCTTTCACTGGCCCCTGGGAATCCCTCTGTAGAGATTGCTTCAGCATGCGTGAGCCAAAAGCACATCTCTCCAAAGGCAGTGAGGCTCAGCTCTGACTAGCCTGGGGTCTGGGTGGCAGCCTCCAGCAGCTCCAATACCCCAGCTGGAAGACCCTGCGAGCTCCTACCCTGTGGACACAGCCCACGGCTAGACTCAACCTGCTCACGCCCCCTCTAGAGCCACAGGGCGGGCCCTTGGTTTTTTTTTTTTAAGATAAATGAAGACAGTCGAGGTTTTACAGCAATATAAGTGTGCTGAATATACAATCTTTTACGGCATCATTTTCCATATAGACCTCTCAACACAGCCCTTGTGGAGAGGGGCTAGTGTTTGGACAGGTTATGGGTCGAACCTGTGGTCCCACGTGGCTGTGATTCAGGCTGCCTGAGGTGCAGCAAGTAAACAAAGCTTGATCAGGTGCGTGTCATTGAGTAGAAACCCACGAGAACGTTGTAAACATCTTGACCACGCCCTTACTTTGCCTTGTGGAATCTGGCTATAAATAAAGACTTGGCTTGCCGGCCATGGCGCTGTCTCTCCATCAGAGAGGGCAGCGTCCCAACCAGACCCAGCTTTCCTCATCTGTCTTTTCTAAATCCTTCACCGCCCCCGCCTCAGGCTCACCGAACCTGGCTGTGCAGGCGGGGCACAAGCCCTCCCGAAGAAACGGCGTTGTAAAGCACCTCATAGTCCAGTGGACTGTTTTCCCATAAGGAAGATGGTAGTAACCTGGGGAAATCCTTCCAGGTCATCGACTCATACCCAGAGGCCATGCACACCACCCGTCAGACACCAGGCTCAGCAGCCAGCAAGGACAACTTGAGCTACTCTGAAAGGGACCCTCCCCCGTTCACTGTTCCCAAACCTTAGTCACCGGCCTTCTCTCGATAACTTTGCCATATCCACATGCTACTCAGACGAAGCATTTGACTCCGCATCAGTTACATCAACATGCTTAAAAGTTAGACCCAGTCTATGTGACACCACCCACGGATTCAGGAGTTGGTTGTGCTGTTCTCCTCCATTGTCTAAAACTATTGAAACACATAGTTATTAAACTTTAAACGTGTTTGCTAAATATCACCGGCAGGGATTTGTACCATGATTTGGGAACACACGGATCTGGTCTAATTTCCTGCCACAGATGGGGACCTTGAGTCCAAGAGAGGGGAAGGAAGGGTCTTGGGAAGGTCACACATGGACATTCTAGACCTCCTGATTCCCAGAGTCCCTTCCCCCGAGGTCAGACGGCCCATTACTGCCATCCTGATAAACAGGAAGGCAGGCATTGGGAGCACAGCAGAGGTGACCTCTCTCACCCTCTTGCCAGTTACAATGAACGATATTCACTTAAGTAGGGACCACTGCTTTTGTCCCCTGAGGTGCTAAAGGGTTTCTCTGGAGGAGGAAGGAGTTGGTCAGTGTCTTTTACAGAAGCTGAAGTGGGAACTGTTTTTTCTTATGATGCATCGCCCTGTACCAGGCCAGGGCAATTTCCCAAGCCAGTGGGGACCAGCAGAGGCCCAGCTGGGGATTCGGGGAGGAGGGGACAGAGTGGGCCGACGACCCTCGCAGCCTGCAGGGTGGCGGTCTCTCTCTCACACGGCACCGCAGCCTTGGGGACCTTGTGCAGCTGGTCCTCCCAGCTGCTCCTGTTGTCAGGGAGGACGCAGCGAGCACCATGGCAGGGAAGAGCATCATAAAGGGCTGCTTCTTTAGCTCCAGGACTCGGGGGACCAGGCAGGAGAGGAGAGGCATTTACAGGGCTACCGGAACAATATTAAAATAGCTGGAGGGTATTTTTTTAACCACCTCTTTGCTCCCCTATGTCCCCTCCCAGAGTCCGGAAGAAAGGTGGCTGACCGAAGGGGACCTGATCTAAAAGAGGGGTGCCCAGTGAGCCCAGGGGAAGCTAAGCTGCTTGTTGTCCTTGTTCCCCAGAGCAAAACTGCTTCTTGTGCCTTAAACACATAAAGCTTCAGGACGCCCTTGAGACCAGAGGAGGCATGGCTCAAATAAAGCACGCGACACTGACATGGGGAAGAATATGTCATTTTCTGAATCTCTTCTCCACTGACCCACATCCCACCCCCTCCATGAAATGTCCGTAGGTTGGTGGCTTCCACCCAACCTGGCTCCCACTGACCACAGCTAGGCCCTCAGGGACCCCTGGGCCTTTACCAAAATTTCTTCTCTGATTTTGGGGTAGTTGGGGTACTTCTCGAGGACCTTGAACAGAGAGAGAAAGGGGGTAAAAACATCAGGCAGGCTCCCTGCCATACACCAGGCCGCTGCCCCAAGCCCCCCCGCCAGTGCTGGTGGCTTACATTGTGGCAGACTTCGATGGCCTCCACGAATTTCTTGCCCTTCAAGTAGTTGAAAGCTAATTTGAAGCCTGTTCAAGGGCAGAGAGAACACACGCACCCTGATGACCTGAGTAACCCTCTGGTTCCCACAACGGGCCTGAATACAGGCCTTGAGGCCTGCGGTAAAGTCGGGGTGGTGGTCCTGCTGCCGACTCCCTCCCGCGCCCAGTGTACCTTGACGGGCGGCCTTACCTACGGCAGGGTTGGCGTAATGGCTGTACTTCCAGGCCAGCTCGTAGTTGGCGGCTGCGTCCTTGTAGGACTGCTCCTTCTCCATGATGAAGCCCAGGTACTCATAGGCCTTGTAGCAGGACTGCAGAGAAAGCCGGTCAGAGCCTCTGCAGCGGGGAAGCCACAGCCGGCCCCAGCGCCGGGCACCCATAGCCCCTCCTCGCCTAAGCGACCCCCGGACCCAGGAATCCTTCCCAACTCTCTCCCCCATCCCATGTTCCCCTTGGCTGCCCGACTTTGTACACCTCTTTATTTTCTTTTAAATATATTTTTATTTATCAGAGAGGAAGGGAGAGATAGAAACATCAATGATGACAGAGAATCATTGATTGGCTGCCTCCTGCATGTCCCCCATTGGGGATCGAGCCCACAACCCGGGCATGTGCTCTGATGGGGAAATCAAACTGTGACGTCCTGGTTCATAGGCCAATGCTCAACCACTGGGCCACACGGGCTGGGCTGTACGCCTCTTCTTGCCTTGCCCTGTGCTGTGCTCCCTGTTCCCATCCTGCTCTTTCCTGGTCTCTTCTCATCCCACATCTGCTCTACCCTAGACGCCCGCCACCGGGTGGCCCCTGCCCACCCCTCCCCCCCCCCCCCCAGGGCATCGCGCCCCTTGCCTTGTTGTATTGCACGCAGCGCCGCAGCAGCTCTGAGGCCAGGTCAAACTTGCCGCCCTGGCAGTAGATGTCGGCCAGCAGGAGCCAGCTCTTCTCCAGGTCCTCGGCCTCGGCCAGCGCCCACGGGGCCTTGGCCAGACGCTTCAGCTGCGTGCGGGCCTTGGGGACCTGCTTCAGCAGCATGTAGGCCTGCGCCATGGCCAGCAGCGCGGGGACGCTGTCCCTCTGTGCCCGAGGGAGGTGGGAAGCAGACGTCTGCGCTGGGAACCTCAACCTCTCCCGCCTGCGCCCCTGCCCGCCTGGCCAGCCAGCCCACCTCAGCCTGTGCCATCTGGATGAAGGTGCCCAGCGCGGCCTCCATGTTTGCCTTCTCCTTGGTGGCCAGCAGGCAGAGGCCCTGCAGCAGCTGCAGCTGGGTCTGGCCCCAGGCCGTGTGCGGGTGGAACTCCCGCAGCAGCTTCTCAGCGGTTCGCACGCCCAGCTGCTCCGACTCCTTCCTGCTGGAGGAACTGGAGGCATCGGTGAGCCTGAGGCCACTGGCTGGCTCTCCCCGCTTTCCCAGGGTCCCGCCCCTGCCCCCAGGGGCCAGCCAAGCC